TTATAATTTATGTCTTTAACTTATACAAATTTTTAAACATCATATAATAAAGACACATATCAACATAAGAATTATAATATCATTTAAAGCCTAATAAATTAATATTCAAATATAATAATTATAAAATATTGAAAAAACTAAAAAAAAAATTATAAAAGATTAAAAATCTAGCAATATCTTACATTTTTAATTTCAATATTCTTTTATTATTAAGAATATTTAAAAAAATATATAAGAACTTACTAGTATAAATAATAGAAAAGAATTTTATTTTTTAAAATTTCTATATATATAAATAAACATATATATATACATATTAAAAATTAGCCTTTAATATAAAATTTACATAACAAATGTTCATGTTATTTAAGTATGGTTCTTAAAAAACTTCCACAAGGCTTTTGTAGTAGCTAATACATATAGAAATAAAATTGATGCTATACTCATTCTTATTAACAAGTTTCTTGTATTTTAGACTTATTTCAAGCCTATATTATTTCTTTAAATATTAGAATAATTATTTTATTTTAATAATACATAAATAATATATTTTATTAGAAATTTATTTAAATGCATGTATTTAATAATTTAAGAAATTACAATTTTTGATATATACTTGAATTCTATAAATTAATATCTTAGCAATTTAAAACTTTTACAAGATCAATAATATTCTTAGTTTATAAATTTTTTGATACTTATCACTTGCAAAAAATAATAAAAATATAAAATAAAATAAAAAAGTTTTATTCTTTTTACAAATACTGCAATAAATTTGTATTAATTTTTTCAAAAAAATAACATTTGATTGTTGAAAGAAAATTATAAAAAAACTAAATCTTAATTTATTTAAATATCTTTATGATAATATGAAAAATTACTAATAAAATTTATCCAATGCCATTAAAAAAATTATGCAAAAAAATTAAAATTTCAAAATTTAATTTTAAAACTTATATATATATATATATATATATATATTTAAAACTAAATAAAAGTAAAAGTACATAAATATAGGTCAAGAACATCTTTGGAACTTTAAAAAGATATTCATATAACAGGATCAACAATAGAGTTGCAAACAACCAACTATTGAATACATCAAAAGATTTCTCTAGCGTCATTATTATTACTTCTTTTTTTTAAAATAAAAACAATGGAATACGGGTGTTGGGTTGTGTTTTACAATACATTTAATTATCTTATAGCTCAGTGTTGTAGCAGTTTTCCAAAACAAGACAAAAGTTCACTACTGCACAAAGGCAAAGGCCTAAGTAAGATCATGCTCGAATGTCATCTATCCAGTTGGGGTCGAAACATGGATGTTTCAAACATTTTGAACACTAGATGTTGTCGGATGTGGTCGCTCGGCGACTGCGGCGATTACACAAATCCCAACGTGTGCCTCCGAATGGCTGAATCGGTTAAGATCCGCCATCTTTACACCTGGGTTGCTTCAATAAATGCATGGTCTTTGGCCTCCTGGATGGGAATATTCTCCTCACCAGTTGTTTCACATGGTTGAACGTTCTGAATCTTTGCTTGCTTGCTCAAGAAACTGCTCAACATGTCTAGATTCTAGATTCCCCGATCATCATCCTAATCCGCGCCGCCCGGGGCTAAATTTAATGAAGTTGAAAAGAAGGTCGGATTTGGCATCCCTGGTTGATAACTTCAAACTCAATGGAGCTGTTCTGAGCTTCGTGAATGGCGGCATCAGAACGTCACAAGTCTTGGATTCAGGACATCTTTCAACATTTGGGCACGTTTCTAACGCAAAGAAGTAAAATTCTGTCTGGATTTTGCAGTCGCCGTGTTGCAGTGGACCAGACAGTTATTTCAATGGTCACGTGAATCATCTCACTGTAAGTCACTGTAAGTCAAATGAGGATAAGTATCGATCAAAAGTCCAAACAAAAAAGTATAGAACTAAACCAACTGATAACGACATTGTCTGGAAAATGTTTTATAAATAAGTAAGAGTGTCTCGTGTAACCGCAACAGACTTGTTTATTTGAGCTTCAGAAGTTGTTGAGTAAGAATTTTGCTCTGCAATCGTCTATTTTTTTTACTGTAAGCTTTGCAGTTTGTTGGCATATCGTTTCTTGGATTGAAACTATATCGCCAAGCAATACCGTGCGTGCAAGATTTTGACCATCATTTATCCAACGCTGCTACTCTGTTTGCGTTGTGCGCGGAAGTGGGTCACGTTGCAAATTCGTGGAGCAGTTGGAGTGACTATGGCAATGCACTCTGAATCGTTTTCCTTTCCATTGGGAATTGTGTTCCTTTGCCTGGCGTTGGATCTTCAAGCAGTTTACGTAGTCTGTAGGCACTTGAAGACGCAGTGTGGACGTTTAGTCGAAATTTTCGTTCCAATCATGTAGAGTGAAAGTACTGACACATGAAATTCTTAGTTGCAGAGGGTGGAAAGATTCTCTTTCAAATCCTGTTTGTCATGCTTATCACTACCGTATATAAGGATACCCTTCAAATATGTACTAGGATTCATATTGACTGTGAGTGACCATATGATTTAATATAAACAGCATGGCAAAGTGTTCTGATACAAAATGTGCTCTGCGATCGACGTGGCTTTTTTGTAACTGTCACAAAGTTTGTTTCTCCTAGAAAGTTTCTCAAAATACCCGCACGAGATGAACTCGCAAATGTTTGGATATCTTCTTCACTTACTGCATTGCCATGATATCATTAACCTGAGATTAGTCGAGCACCGTGCGGACTCCGGTGCTATCAACCATCAATCGGGTAACATCATTGTTAGTCTGGTCAAGTTCAACATTTTAGCACAGACCTTGCGGTCGCAGTGCCCCCGCAGTGCAGTACAACTAGCCCTACCAATCTAGGACTGATCACTCTGTATATAGATGCAAACCAAACAACGCTGCAGCTATTCTGTTGAGACCCAGAGTCGATCGAAAGCAGAATCGAGGAAAATGGTCGCATCAAAGCTCATTCTACAATCTTTTGGGTTGTTACATTCTGTGGATAGTGCAGTGTCGCCCATCAGTACCAAAACCTGACGGCAGAAAATGTTGTCGCATTTCAGCTTCAGATAGGACCCCATGTCGAAGAGGCGCTGTTCATTATCCCTCCTGGAAAAGACACGCCGTCTTAAAGATATGCAATCTCCTGAGGCACTAAAACCGTAACCACACTCTGCTCTAACCTCCATCGCGTTGACTGTCACTCTTCTCATGCACTTAACTCTCTTGTGCAGTAACTAAACACCACCAAAAACTGCGCTTGTGAATCAGCACTTCTCTCGTCAGGTCAGAAGGGATCCTGCGCACAACCTTACCGACACTCGCCACAGAATGCTGCAAAAAAGTCTTGTCGTAACTCCTTCGAGCTTGCGCGGCACTTTTATAACTTTTTCAAGCTGTAGGAGTGTTGCAACGTGAGGTTATCCAACCGGTTATGTCAAAAGCGTATACCATCTCTAATCTACCCTTTGTTTGCTGGATAAATTATAATGATTCAAGGGAAGACAACAATTAACGAGGGGGATCACCAGAGAATATTAATTAAGTGGTGCCAAATGCTCAAGTTACCAATCCTATATCGAAATTATAATATTGAGCAGATTAAAACCGAAACACAATTTATCTTATTAAAATTCGACATGCAATTAAGACAAGTTGCCAATTATTTAGGGGGAGCATCAGGAGTTGGCTGATTGTACCCCTGTTTCTTTCCGTCCTCTGGAGAGCATTAATCGCATGCCGCTGCTGACGTCAAGTAAAGAAATATCTTCACTTGTCGTGAGTCTCTGAAGTCCTTGTCCATGACGCAGAGCAACCCAATTCTGACTCTTTGAACAATAGGTGACTGACTGCAGTTGGTTCAAATTGGGGTTCATTTCAAAACATTTCACTCTGAGACGACTTGACTATCCTCTGAAGCCGGATTTAGCAAAGGATGTGCAACGTTTCCTTGTGGCAACCTTCACCGTACATCAGCGTGCCGTAGACTTTTGATCCTCGACATACATGAGGAGGTTATTCTGTGGCAGCAAGTGATTTTGTGCCGGATGTTCACGTCTTCTAAACATGGTGGATTCTTTTCACCACCGTTTTCTTCATCCGATCGGCAATTTCGGGCATTATCACAACCAACATGTTTTCTCATGCATCCGGACTGAAGCACTGTACTGTTTCACGTTGCAGATCTGAATTTTAGCTCCCTGCTCGAAGGCACACGTTTTAAGGCTAGGAGTGTTAACGAAATCCTGGTCAGTGTGAATGTCTGGCTAGAGAAACTGATGACGAAATTGTCCTTCATGGAGATCAATAATGTGTTCAGCACTGTTTGATACATGCATCCAATCTTTACGGCCATGTGAGCCAGTGCTGGAATCTACCAAATCCTCGTTTCAGAGGGAAAGACAAACAGAGAAGACACGGAGCTGGCACTGTCCTGGTGGGTGCACGATTATGCGCAAGACTTGCACTTGAAGCTTGTAAGTGTGCCAGGCTTTAAAAGAAAACGAGAATTCGCCGGATAGGTTGACTTTCATAGATCAGATTTCAATACGGCCAATTTTCCCTAGCCTGGAAAAACCCTTCAAATGGTTTCACTCCTCTGTTGAGGCAAAACTAACAAACTAAAGATGTCGCATAATCGGTGCGCTATGTCGGAGGTTTCAGGGACGTCTAGGTGGCGTGAACTTGTGAAATGCCATCGCAATGTTTATCGATTCAACTAACGTCACATCACCTGTAAGCCCACAAAGACGATGCAAAGTTCAAGTCATGTAGTTGAGCAAATCCAAATAATTCGAAAAACAAAATGAAATCCGGGGTGGGTTGTTCACCCGCCACTTCCAAAGCACGTCAATTACATGGAAAAGTAGGAGTCCAGTTCAGAACATTGTACCGGCATCTTGACATGTGCAATAAAGTTGGTTTGACCACAGAAAGGGTGTGCTTTCTAAAAACTTAAAGTTGGCTTGTTGGAGTAGAGACGTACAGTGAACGAAGGATATGCTCAAAAGTGGGAAGTGCGTTGTACTCAACGCCCCTATGAGTTCCTCTTTTTCAGTGCTTTCGAAGAGGCAAACTTCATTTTGCCGAAAAATCGCGGCTGTAAAACTTGGATCCATCCTGGAAAACCCAGTGTTAGGCTTTCCATGTCCTATTGTCTAAACTTTGCTGCGATCTGATGCTGCACTTCGGACTTAGATAATGAGCTTGTTTGAGAGCATCTCACTTAAACTAGATTATGATCAACACGTTGGGGTTACAAAACATGAATTGGGTGGGTTTGCAACCAGGAAATCGGTGTGGATCTGGGAATTGGAGCCTAAGCGACATGCACATCGACTGGATTATCTCCCCGAATGCTGGGCCATGGGCAACATTTTTCTACTCTTACGCACAATCGCAGTATGCCATGATTAACACTGACTCTCCACGGTACAAGAATCCGTCAAGCTGCCGGTCAATCCCATGATTCCACAGGCTGTTCCAGAACCAGGAAATTGCACCAAACAACGCTAGGAACGGGAAAGAAATCTAGGCCTTACCAACCAAAATCCTGTACTTTCCATATTTATCCTGCTTCATGCTTTATCTTATTGTCTAGTTTATAGTCTGTAATAAAAATCAAATTTCCAATCAGTACTCTTAAGAATGGGCATTTGGCTACGTTGATTAAACATGCTTCCCAGTCATCGCTGTCTCTATTTCTTGCCTTAGAATTTGCTTGCACACGGAAATTCTTTAAAACTTCTGTTTGGATTGTTCAACAAAATATTTCAGGCTTGAATTCAATATACAAGACATTTGGGCCCATAACACATCAAAACACAGATTACTCGCCGGGTCTGTTTCAGCGCACAACAACCTCTGCCAGCTACACACAAGAGTTAGCAGTTTCTGCATGCACCTGGAATGCGAAAAAACAAAAGTTATGGAATACGCCAAAGGAAAGAGTCAAGGCATCGATGGAGCATTCATTAATCCCGTTCAACGAAACTTGATCTGAGGAGGGATGGTCTTCTTCCCTTCCGTTGCTTTCAAACCGATCGAATCGAAACTGCATGAAAAGCAAAGGAAGACTGTACAATTTAAGGGTGTTTTGCGGAGATAGGCGAACTGCTCGTCATTCCTCAGCAAGCACGTCACCGCTTCAATCAATCGGTGCTTTTGGGTGTAGGTTAACTGCACTGGGGAGCCGCCTCTGTGTCAGGAATCGGGACTCGAGAATCGAAGCTTCACGCATTGCCATGGAGATCGGTGGAGCCTCTTCGCAGCGATGCCATAGCTCATTCGTCGCCACTGGGACTGCGGGTTCATGACCGCGGCGAGATTCGAGCCCACGCCGCTGCTTTGCGAAAAAATCAATTCAATATTTTCTAGATCTTAATGATACTATATGCAATTACTCAGACTTTTGATACGTCCTATAATTATCTTTTTATTCATATTTTCTAAAATAGTCTTCATGTCTGTTTTTATCAACTCATTATGTGCAAAAAAACCATGCAAAGTAGAATTTGAAATTGCTAATCAATTTCTTTTAACTTTTCTTGGTTTATATGCATAATGTATATGTAATTCAAAATAAAATGAGCTGGAAATTAAGGTAAAAGACAAATTCCAAGGTTTTTATACATTTAAAAGCTTGTTAAGGATATGACTTTTCTTTTGGTGAAAATAGGTGGATTTAGCAAGTTTTTTTTGCAAAAGCTAAATATTATTTTAGAAGCTTAGATTAGGCACATAAGCAAAAAAAAAATTTTAAAAATCAGTTGAATAGATTTGCAGTTAGAAGGACACAAGATACTTCAGCTGATGGCTTCTCGAACATGTGAGATCTATTTGGGAAATCAAAAATTTGTTACGTCTATTTTTAATAAAATAGCATTTGTTAGGCTTATTTTTTATATTTACTCTAATTTTTAAGTTCATACTTGTTAGGATGAAGATTTTTATTAGAATTGTTAGACTCACCCAAAATATAGGTAAGAATGATTTTATACAAAATATTTAATAGGATACATGAAATTAATAATTCATTAAGAATAACATTCTATTAAAACTGATCTATTTATCTGCTACTTAAATCAATAATTTAATAAACTATGTACTAATATTTAATTATTAAATTAAACACATATACATACATATACACTTTTTATAAAAATAATAATTCACACTCTATAAAATAAAATATAACTACTGTAAACTATTGTTTTTAAATCGGTCTTATAAAAAAATAAAAAAATAAAAATAAAAATTACAAAATTAATTTTTTCTTACTATCATATAAAATCTAATGCCACTTTTATAATTCGTTATCAATTTCCTCATAACGTGGCACAACTTTGACACTATCAAAAAACAGAACGTTTTTAGATAAAAAAAACAAACGTTTGTAGATAAAAAAAACAAACGTTTGTAGATAAAAAAAATGAAAAAAAATAAAAAACGAATTGATTGATTGAAAAAATTGTTGAGAATCTATCAGATTGCAAATACTGTACAAATGAAACAGTCTCCGACATGTGCAGTCTAGGCTTTGCTTTGCTTTGCTTAGCTTTGGAGTGTACTCACCAACCCATTGTCCTCTTCTTTTACCCCCTAAACTATCATATTCATACACATACACACACACGCTAACGCACGCCTGGTATCACCGCCGAAGCATCGATGGATCGACTGTGGACCCGAAGAAGGTCCAGAGCAGGGCGATCCCGCAGTGCTATGCTTTTCAGATAGTGCAGGTGGTTGCGTAGACTACGTCCTCACTCAACTGCCAAGGCTGCCGGACACCCGGTCCATAGTCCTCGTGTCCAATGATTGGCTACAGATCCTAGACGTCGGTTTTTAGTTGGGCCCTGGAGAGTCCGCACATTTGCTGCCGGTTGCCCAGGTTTTCTGCGAAAAATCAGTCCTGGAGATGGTGCAGCTGCTAGTGACTTGAATCGTCACTGGATGCGGGTCTACTCGGCATTTCTTGAACCCCAACTGCTAGAGTAGATTGCTGGGACCCTGAGTAGATTAAATTTTGCTAGATTGATTCTTAGCTCGAGTTTATAGAATGATGCTCTAGGACAGATAGCGTTAAATCGACTCGCCGAATGTAGGCTTTCAAGATCGCAGACTTGAGGGACTCTTGAAAGCTGCTATCAGTGCATTTCCTGTGCAAAAACTCGATCTAGTTGTTCGTTGGTTTGGGGTGTTGCATGAGCTTGAGTGGGTTCAGATGGCGAGACGCGACCGGAGTTGAGCGTGGCTTGAGGGCTTTAATAATCCGCGGTGAGAACTCAAGGGATTCGGCGTCCTGTTGGGAGGTCTTGATTTGTAGTTGAGCTGCATCCCAAATGGTCACCTTATGTAGGAGGGCCTGGAGTGAAGGGTTCGAGATTCGACGATGTTGGCAAAAATAGCGCCATTACGGTTTCTTCCAATGGGATGACGATGAAGGATTACACAGCTTGGTATTCTCGCATCAAGAGTCTCGTATTCTTCCTTGTGGTGTTAGGCACCGGTGCAGTCCTCGGCGTCGTCACAACTTTGAATGTTGTCGGATACATCACCAACTCCGAAAGTGGGTTTCTCTCAGCCCGATTCCCGACTTTGCCTCCGCAACTTGATGCTACTTCGTTTGTTTCCACGTCGAATGTTTTGCCTACGACACCAATATCAGCGGATCTTTCCAGTGCCAAAACAACTAATCGACCTGATCTTCCTGAACAACATGAATCATCTTCCGAGGCATCCCAGATTCAGCACCCGAAAACCATGGAACCTAACTCAACTCGTGCAGATAATGTGCGGCTGGTTAACGGTTCAGATGTGGCCCTTGAGCCAGGCTCTGCGTCAACAAATTCGACCAAAACAGAGGACTCTGAGACTGTTTCCGAGGAGATGGATCCTTGGAGTGTAAGTATAGTGGTGAAGAAATCAACTATTGCAAGAAAGTCTGAATTGGAAGAAAATCCAGAGGATACGATCGATGTTGGTGGAATTGACTCTAAGGTGACAGATGCGGTGATAAATTCAACTTTAGTAGAGAACGAATCGATGGGGGAGAGTTCTGAAGTACCACCTCTGATCTTTGAGTCAGAAATCCCTCTTATGTCGCATCCGGTGGATCTCTCCACTCTGTCGGATGTGTACCACGACATGAGTGAGGAGGAACTACTGTGGCGCGCCTCGGCAGGGTTTTTGCGCCGACCTCGCCCCAAGTTCGTCATTCCCAAGGTGGCATATCTGTTCCTCACTCGAGGACCCCTGCCCCTAAGCGCCTTGTGGGAGCGATACTTCCATGGATACGATGGTCTGTATTCTATCTTTATCCACGCACATCCCAATTACCTCCCTAAATTTCCGCCAAACTCCGTGTTCTACCGTCGCAACATCCCCAGCAAGGTATTATCATCAGTTCTTCATGAATTTCTTTTGAAGTACTCTAGTTTGGAATTCGTTCTCAATGAGCACCTCGAATATTTGTGAAATGAGTGCAGAAGCTGTAGTTGAGGTATTTCAGAATAATCCTCAGAGTTCTTTTTGAGAGCCTGTTTGTTGTGGACCACGGGTACGAAGGGTGTGAACATTCCGTTCTCACTTTTTTCAACTTCGATTGTAGTAACGGAGTTTTTCTTGTTATTTTTCATTGTAACAATATTGAGTTCTTATCCTGAAACTACCCGCATGAAGATTTGGAATGTTGAAATGCGTTCAAAACTAATCGGGGATCTTCAAGGAAAAGTATTTCCTTAATGCGGCTGCGGTCTTGTCGGTTGTTGAGCGATTATAACGGAGGAACATCTGCGATTGTAGACGAAGGGTGCTTGGGTCTAATTGTTTAGGTTTTATGTTGATGAGTGGTGTGCAGGAGGTCTTTTGGGGAAAGCTGTCGGTATTTGCGGCGGAACGGCGGCTTCTAGCGAACGCTCTGCTTGATGCTGCGAACGAGATATTCGTGCTTCTTTCCGAAACGTGCGTTCCGATCGCACCACTTCGAACGGCATACAAGTATTACATGGACTCGGAGCACAGCTTTGTGGAAGCGTACGTGAATCTTGGAAAGGGAGGGATAGGGAGATATAACCGCATCAAGGGCAGGAGCAAATTGAACCCAGAGATTCGGCCCTCGCAGTGGCGGAAGGGAAGCCAATGGTTCGAGATATCGCGCAATTTAGCTCTCATGGTTGTCTCGGATCGGAAGTACTACTCCAAGTTCGAGAACTTCCTTTGTAAAAACGATTGCGTATGTTACATCGACGAGCATTATCTTCCTACAGTGCTGACAATCCTGGCACCCTCAAAGCTTGCTAATAGAACTTCACATTACATAGACTTCACCCGGAGCACGGCTCACCCTCATCAATGGAACAAACTAGATATCAACGAGCGAACGTTGAGGAAAATCACGACTGGCCAGAATTGCACCTTCAACGGCAAACTCACAACGACTTGCCACATGTTCGCTCGAAAATTTAGTCCGGATACGATTGAGCCCCTCCTGAAGCTCGCTGCCAGAAGTTTCAGCATCCCAGAAGTTGCTATTGGCAACTAGACTGCTCTTCTTGTGCGGAACAATCATGTATCATACCGATTTCTCCCCCGACGACTGCCGTCCAACGACTCAACCCACTCCGGCAACAAGTAGTCTGTACAAAGCACTGCGGTTGATGTTTTCACTCATAGGTTTTCTGTTGTGCCGCTAAATTCTAATATACCCTCGACCATGTTTCAAAGTCAATCCACTTGTTAAATTTTGTGCCTTAAAATTGGGACTCCGTAATCTTTTGTAATTCTCCAAAGGTAACAGATTTTGAGTCGAACAGATCATGCATGACGTGATTCACACATGCCCATTTGAACTGGAACCACTCAACCAGTCTCTGATTTTGGTTTTCTGGAAACAATCAGGCCATGGCGGCTGATAAAGTAACAAGCTTAGCAAATCCGTGTCACTCAACTTTTGTATACTTGCTGAAATAGTTACATGCTGATGGACGAAACTCCTAGACTAGCTTGGACTGATTTAGTTGCCATTCTAGAGAAGTGTTGTATTAATTTGAGCAATGTTGCTGCGAAAAAATATAAGTATATTGTTGAAAGAGAAGCTTGATAATACAATATCAATTGTATCTATATTAATTAAGCACATAATGTTTAATAAGAGTTATATATATATCTAAACAATCTTTTAACATTCCCACTTAATAACATATTAGATTAATTCAATTTGATGATTTCCATCATTTCCTTGAATTTATAATGCTTCTCAAAATTTAGACCTTTGGTCAAAGTATTTGCAACCATGTCTTAAATCCTACAAAAAAAACCAAATTGCTTTTGCATTCAAAATCTTATCACAAACAAAAAAAATGTTGAATTCCTTAAGAGTACAGAATGTAGAATTCTTTAAAAGAGAAATAAAACTCTAGTTATCATTGAAAAGGGTCATGGGATTATTTTATAAAAAGTCAATGTCTTTAAATTATTTGTGAAGCCAAACTACTTCCTTTGTTGCATAAGTAACTCCTATATACTTTGCTTTGGTGGTAGACAATTCAATTGTTGGTTGCTTCTTGCTATTGCAATTGATAGCACTACCAACAAATAAAAATGTATAGCTAGAAGTTGAAAAAGAAGTTTCAATATTTCTTGCATAATTTGCATTGCAATAAGCAACTACTTACAAATTTGAAGAACTTTCACTCTATTATAGTACATAATCTAATGTAGCTTTTAGATATTGAAAAACTCTCTTATTAGCTTTCTAATATTATGGACTATAATTTGCCATATATTAGCTACCAACTCTAATTGCATATGCAATATCAACTAAGTACCTATTATTACATAAAGTAAGATACCAACTATAATTTGATATAAAATAACTTTCATTGCTTCAATTTCCTCATAAATTTGTGGATTCATGTTTCTTAATAATTTTTTGTTAGAATCCAAAGATGTACCTAAAGTTATATAGTCATTTATACCAAATCTTTTAAGATTTTTTTTCCAAGTATTTTTGTTAATCAAGGTAAATTATGTGACTTCCTTGATTTTTCATAATTTTTATTTTTAAGATATAATAGATTTCTTCTAAATCTTTCATCTCAAATCTTATTGCTAAATAAAACTTTGTTTTCAAAAGAAGTCCCTTATTTTTGCAAATTATAACCAAATCATTGAGATATAATGCAATGATAATAAATCCATTGAAACTCCTCAACTTGTAAATTTTAGAATCCGCATGGTTTCTCTTTAAAATTTGTGAGGCAAAGTATTCATTTATTTTCTTATATTATGCCCTTAGATATTGATTGAATCTTTGTAATGTTTTAGAGAGCTTATATATCACAAACTCTTTGCTTTTTGAAACATAGATTTTATATTGCTCTTTGTATTTTTCCTCTTTAAGACCTCCATTTAAGATAGTAGTCCTTGCATTCATTTGCTAAACTTCCAAATATTCAAGTGCAACAAGTCCAAGAAGTGTATAAATTGAAGTCATTTTTGTTATTAGAAAAAAAATATCATTATATTCAATAGCTTCTTTTTGCACACAACCTTTGGCAATAAGGCTTACCTTATAGTGCTCTACAAAATTATTTGTATTGTATTTAATCTTTAAAATTCACTTGCATCTAATAGATTTTTTACCTATTAGAAAAGATGTCAAATTCTATGTCTTATTGTTAATATTACTTTGATATTTTGAATCAATTGCTTCTTTCTACTTCCAAGTATTATTACTTTCTATAGTTTCAATGAAAGTAATTATTTCTTCAATGCTTGTATAAAAAGCATATGCAATGCACGTTGAAGATGTGAATGATTTAGAAGGCATCTAAGTTAATACTAATTTACTTGTTGATTTTTTAATTCACTTTCTTGTAAATAAGTTAACATAAATAAAGGTAGAAATTAAAAAAGAACTAGGAATGTGGTTGTAACAACTTGTTGATGTCTAACTATATAAGCTTAGAATAGAATATTTTCTATTAAAGATAAAGATTTAATAATATAATATTATTAATTATTTTTATTTTTTAAATTTTCTATTAAATATTTACTTTTAATTATAAAATAAAATAAAAAATTCATAATTTCAATATTAATTATTATTTCTAAAGACTTAACATTAGACACTTTTAAAATTCTTTTGGTTTTTTTTTATATATTCTCACACTCAACAAACTTAACATCATGGCTGTCAATCATTAAGTTTTTTTTAAAATCATAGAAACAATAGCACTAAGTACCTTCAACATAGTTTAGAAAAATGTATTTTTTGGTTTTATAATCAAGCTTAGAATGTTTTTTTTTTTGAAAAATGTACATTGATATCATATCTAAATACTTAAAAAAATTTGATTAATGGTTTTATACTTGACAATACTTCTTAAAGTGTTTTACCTTCTATAACTATAGTAGTATCACTGACATATATATTTACCTCAATAGTTACTTATATGATTAAGTAGAAGTAGGTAAAATAGAATAATTTCATAAAGTCTTCTAAGAAAGCTTCCTAGAAGCTTTACAGATGCGGTTTTGACTTTAGATGTGTTTGTAGGTTAGAAACTTGGCCAAAAAGCTAACCATGTATTGGTAGCTTGTAGAACAAGTTACCTCCGTGTAGTAGCTTGTAGAATAAGCCAACTACGTGGCGCATACATAGATAACTTGCCTTACAAGATAAGACATGTGGCTAGCAAAGTCAACACATGTTGGAAGTTCTATAGGACATTACCACATGGCTCTTAGTTAGATACTATATATGGAGACAAAAAATCTTATTTTCTAACATTAATCTTTTTCTTAAAGAGAGTGGATAATCCCTCTTTGTGGGATTTATTTTTAGAGGTTGTGGATTACCTTCCTCTAATTTAACTTTTGAATTCGTTTGAGTTGTCTATGGAAGGAAAGATTATGGATGCTACTCTCAATAGAAGTGAGAATAGATTTGCAACTATAGCAGATCTTTATGAGCTTGTCAACACTCTAAGAGTGAAAATCTCACATATTTCTAACATGAATCATAGAAGTACTATGCCTATGCATATGGAAGAAGTTCAGAGTTTGCGACAAGAAGTTGTGCAGTTGAAAGAAGCAAGTAGATCAACATCACAACCAAATCCAGGGAGTTTTGCTTCTACAAGTATGATAGGGACAAGGATTAGTATGCCTGAGAAGTTTGATGGAACAAGATCAAAATTTCAAGGATTTTTGCAACAAGTCAAGCTCTATCTAAGGTTGCATCCTTTCCAATATCCTAATGGATTTACCCAAGTCGGATTTATAGGTGCACTACTATCAGGAAGTGCTCTCTTGTGGTTTACACCTTTAATGGAAAAAGATTCATGACTCCTTTATAATTTGAATTCATTTCTAGAAGTGTTTACGACCACATTCGAAGAAAGTGTTCAAGAATGAGTAGCAGAGACCAAGCTTCTATCTTTACAGTAAGAATCACGATCAGCCACTACATATGCTGTTGAATTCCAAAATCTTGCTTGCAACGTGGACTGGAACCACAAAGTACTTATCAACCAATTTCAATATGGATTGAAGGATAGCATCAAAGATTTGTTATTAACAATGCCAAAAGTAGAATCTTTGAAATAATTTATTATTCAAGCCATTATATGTGACAATCATTTATTTGAAAGGCATCAAGAACAAAGATTTAATTGGAGAAGAATAAGTCAAGTAATGGCGGTAGCTCCCAAGTTTTTTGAAACGTATTTGTCAAAGTCGGAACCAATGCAAATTGATATGATACGTTTTAAATCTCTCACAAAGCAGGAAAAGACTCGACGTCACCAAAAGGGATTGTATTTATATTGTGGAGAAGCTAAGCACATTACTCAATATTATCCAAAGAAGCAACACAATTACAAAATGAGGAACACAATTACCAAAGAAGATACTGTGTCAAAAAACAAGTTTCTCTAGCTACAATAGAGACCGTGTGGCTGAAATCATATGCAACACCTAGTAAAGGTCCTATCCTCTCCTCACACCCCTCACCTTGTTTTATAATAGAAGTATATTTAAGACCTAATAATCACAAAGTCTTTGCCTTGTTAGATTCAAGAGCCTCAGCATGTTTTATAAACAAAGATTTTGTCAAAAATCAAAAAATACTTTTAGTGAAGAAAGTTAAACCCATACATGTAGAAGTCATAGATGGTCGTTTGTTGTCTTTTGGAAATGTTAGCCATGAAACTATTCTTTTAGATATAGCAATTAAAGATCTTAATAGCATAATAGTATTTAATATAATAAAATCTCTCTCTAATTCGGCTATTTTAGAATTATCATGGCTAGAAAAATATAACCCTCAAATAGATTGGATTTCTCATAACCTTAACTTTCTTGATAGTATAATCCAAGATCGTGTTAGGAAAGTAGAAGTATGTAAGTCCAGTACATCCAAATCTTTATTAATAGGTACAAAAGCTTTCTTGCATGCTGCAAAGAAGGATCATTTTTACTATATATGCTACACCCATTTCTAATGGTGAAACAATGTCAAGTGGTATTCCTAAACAATATCAAGAATTCCAAGACGTTTTTGAAAAGAATAATGCACATATTCTTTCCGAGCATCGACCTTATGATTGTTCAATTGATCTGTAAGAAGGAGCTCAACCACCATTCGGACCAATCTATAGCTTATCGCAGAATGAGCTGGCTTCATTAAAAGAGTACATTGATTAGAATTTGGCAAAGAACTTCATACGTCATTCTAAATCTCAAGCCAGGGCTCCTATCTTATTTGTGAAGAAGAAAGATGGATCTCTACGAATGTGTGTGGATTATTAAGGACTCAATAAAATCACCATCA